GCAAGCCACAATTTGACATCATTGAACACAGAGTTGGACAGCAAAGTCTCCTACAGCCTCTGGCCCTTTGAGCAGGTCCCAGGACCCCTCTAAGTTGGGGACAGAGACAACAGACAAAAATAGAGACAACCGAGAAGAAGAAAGCAGGACAGAGACCAGTGGCCATCACTGGTGGGGAGGCTTGCTGTTTTTCAGAGCCATGATGGAGTAAGTTTTCTTGATAAGATGTGGCCGTATTAGTAAAGGTATGTGTTAAGGGAGGAAGGAGCAGTCCAGGCAGAGGGCACAACGAGGGCAAAGGCCCTGCAGTGAGAACATGCTTGGCATATTTGAGGACTAGCAAAGAGGCGAATGTGGTTACAATGGAGTGTAAGAAAGAAAGATGGAGTCAGAGAGGAGGTAGCCAGGGGCCACATTATTTTGGGCTTCGTCAGCCGTACTGATGACCTTGGCTTTTCCTCTGAGGGAAGTGATAAGGGATCTGAAGTTTCTGAGGAGAGGGGTGACAAGATTTTAAAAGCATCACTGGCTGCAGTGTTGAGGGTAGACCACTGAGGACAAAGGAAGCAGCAGGGAGACCAAGTGAATGGCTGTCACAAATATGCTGGGCTGTGTGGGTGATGAGCATGAGGTGCAGAAAAACATGTCAGAATCTGAATACGTATGTTTGTTAATGCGTTGGATGTGAGGCATGAGAAAACCAAAAGATTCAAGAACAACTCTTTGTGTTTTGACCTCGGCAATTGGGAAAAATGAGTTGCCATGTCCTGAGATGGGAAGGACGAAGCACATTGAAACAGAAAAATCCTGTTTGGTTTTCAAATATTTAAAGCTGCCGATGCCTATTAGACTTCTACCTGATGATGTCACACTGGGATACAGAAATCTGGAGTTCAAGGGAAATATTGGCCATGAAGTTAAAACTTCAATTATTCAAAGCTGAAAGCCAACGTGGGGTCTCCTGAAGAATGTAGGGGTAAAAGAAAGGGGTCTGATGTCTGAACCCTGGGATCTCCATTTTGACTTTGAGAAGAGGAGGAGGAACCAGTAAAAGAGACAAAGAAAGGAGTATACCCAAAAGAAATGAAAGCAGAGACCTCAAACAAATAGCAATATACTGATATTCATTGTAGTATTACTCACAATAGCAAAAGGTAGTAACAACCCAAATGTCCATCAATAGATGAGTGGATATACAAAATATGCTATGTATACATTAGTACATACAATGGACTATTATTCAGCCTTGAGAAGAAATGACATTTTGATACAAGCTACAACGTGGATAAACCTTGAGGACAGTATGCCAACTGAAGTGAGCCAGACACAAAATGACAAATATTATATGATGCCATTCATATGAGATAGCTTAGAGTAGTAAATTCATAGAGCCAGAAAGTAGAATGGCAGTTTCCAGGGGCTGGGGAGCAGAGAATGGGCGTTGTTGTTTAATGGATGCAGAATTTCAGTTTGAGAAGAAGACGTTCTGGAGATGAATGATGGTGATGGTTGCACAACACAAAAATGTAAATTTACTTAATGGCACTGAACTCTACACTTGATAGTCATTAAAATGGTAAATTTTATGGTGTGAATATTTTACCACAATAAAAAAATGAAGCAAGTGAGAATGAGCAGCCAGTGAGGAGGGAGAAGAGGCAGAAGAGAGTGTATTCTGGGCACCTGAAAAGTATCTCTAGGGCCGGCCGAGTGGCTCAGTTGGTTAAGAGCTCGCTCAAGAGTTTGAGCTCTGAGCAACAGCGGTTCGAGTCCCGGCCCAAGCTGAGCAGCCNGAGAGAAGTAGTCATATCTTATATGTCTTGTACCCTAGAGAAACTTGCATATTCTAGGTTCGAAAATGTATAATGAATAAATGAAAAGGTCAGGGCAGAAGGTATGTGTGCAAAAGACTTGGGTAGGGGTACGTAAGGGAGGCAGATGCATCTCTTTACCTTGGCCAGGTGAGCTGGGTATTCTGAGAGCTGATGGGAGTATCACCTCCTACCCCTTCTCACATAGCCCCCCCAACCCCCCAACCCCACTCACATAGCCTTGCTTATACCCGTAGTGATTCTCAGGGTTATTTTTCAACAGGGGAACAGGAAGGCCTGATTTATCATGACTTCGGAATGGCTTGTAGGATAAACTGGGAACCCAAACCACACACCTTATCCTTACAAATCGTATGAGAATATATGTTAAACTGAGCGGTGAGCCATTTGCTATGTTTTTGTTTCCACTCTAGTTCAATTCAACAGTGATATAAGAGGAAAAATATCTCAACTGCAGAGAAATCTTCAGGCAGGTCTCAAGAGAATACTATTTTACTTTTAAGTGATGTCAAAGTTATAAAACAAAGAAAAGGGATCTATGTGGATGAGTAACAATTTCATATTTTTGCCTTCCAGGAGACGGAGCTGTTAGACCTTAGCCTGGTCAAGGATGCCAGATGTGGGAAACATGCCAAAGCTCCCAAGGTAGGAAGTGGAGCATTGTGCTCGCACCAGATGCTACCTTGATTATGTATCTGTGTCATGGTATCAATTAATTGCCCTAATTTAAAGTTTCTCTGTTGTCGATGTTGTAAAACACAATAAAACAACCAGTCCTTCCAGGAGCCAGTATTCCCTGGACACTTCCACTTTTGTTAAAAGACTGAAACAATGAGCAAATATATAGGCAGTTGGACACAGGGGCTTCCTTTATGCCCTCTAATTTTATTTTTGTTTGAAAAAAATAATAACAATGCCAAAGTTGCTGGGTAATTCTAAATAGTTAAAATGTGCTTGACATTACTTGAAAAATTCTTTTAGTCTCATAAGCATACACGTATCAACCCTTTGGATGTGATAAACAAGACCCTATAGTTGAAATGCTTTGCAATTGAAGTCATTTCATCCATGAAGCCAAAAGGGTGTAAGACTTCTTACAAAAGGATGTAAGACATGTTATGAGTGAAGGGTCAGCAGACTTTGGGATCAGTTGGGTACAGTGTTACTTTGTTTTGGTTTGAAAAACTTGCTAAAAGAAATATTCAAAACAATGT